AGAATGGTCTAAAGATATTGAACTCGAAAATAGATCAATACCTGAATTTAAGAGATTAATTTACATCTCATTATTTAAAATTTTTATTGAAAATGAAGTAAATATATATACTTTTGATATTAAGGCCAATTTTCCCTATATTGATGACATGCTTGAATTAATTTTACAAAACCCAGATTTCCTTCATAATATTAGAAATTTAAAACTCTGTTGTATTAATTTCTATACTGATAATCGTATGTCTCAAATGATCAATTTATGTCAAAATCTTAAAAAAATTTCATTAGCTTATAATAATAGTTTTCCTTTATACCAAACATCATTGTTGTCAAATGATTATAATCATTCGTCAAATACTTTAAATACAATCATCTTATTTCGCCTCAATTTTAAAGTTATAACCAATTTAGATAACATATTTGAACAATTAAATGTTTTAGAATCCGTTCATATCATTTATTGTATTTTAGGTACTGATTTTATTCAACAAATAATTAACTTAACTAAACCATTTAAGTTAAAATCTTTATTCTTATATAGTAGTGAATTACAAATTGTTGAATCATTACAATTATTATTACAAAAATATGGTGATTATTTAGAAAATTTTGCATGTAGATTTGGTTCTAATTCGTTATCTGAGGAGCAACAATTACTTGAATTTATTATAAAATATTGTAAAAATATTAAATTTCTTGATTTAACTGTAATTAATAATATTCAGATTATTTATTCGTTATTCAATTTAATTGAGAATGTGAAACAAAATCTTAATCATCTTTCTATCAATATCTTTGACAATTTTGGTTTTTCAAATACTACTGAACTTAGTTCAATTACATTACAAAATTTAGGTCAATTACTTCCTCTTAAATTAGAATATTTAAGTTTAACTCTTACTATTAAATATAAAAATGATTTTGAAATGTTCTTAAAAAATTCTCAGGATACTTTTATTAAAAAATTGTTAATCAAAGATAGGAGAATTAAAGATGATGAGGAATGTCGTGATACTCATGATTTTTTTTTATCCTATATAAAAGAATATATTATGAAAAAGAAAAGAATCAAATATTTGGCTATTATCAATTTTACTACTGATTTGTTTTCATTTAAAGATGAAGTGAAGGAATTTGAGTTATACAATATTAAAATTCAAAAATATCGTGATTTGGTTGTTAAATATAAATTAAAATTTGTAGAAGAATTTGAAGATTTTTAATAATAAGGGTTTAACATAAATTTTTTGGGAAAATTTTATAAATTTTATAAATAAACTTAAATTTTACTTATACTTAATCTTTAACAGTTGTTTGATAATGTATATAATTATCAAAAATTTAAAGAATGTTAATATGAAATTGTTGTTTTTAATTTTACTTATACCTATGTGACGCTATGAATTTTTTGAAATGTTTTATATAACAATTTTATATATATATTTTTTATAAATACTTCAGCGCCCATTGATAATAGAGTGTTGTGTAATAAGGTATTTGACGACTCCACTTCACCAGTTAAAAGGAGCTGGAAATATTCGACTTCTAGGATAAAGTGGGGCAGAGTATTACGGAGACACTGAGGAAGATTACTTTGACTGCCATGGAGATAGAGGATCTCGATAAAAAACATCTTTCATCATATTGGAATTCTTATATCTGGGATCTTTTGGCAGGTCATATAATTATTAACGTCATACTAGAAGTTTAAAAGAAGAAAATTTGTATGAACTTTCTTAAAGTTTAATTTAAAGTACGATTATTACAATAAAAGAAGAAATTCATGCAAATTTTTAATTAATTTATTAAATTTTCATTAATTATTTCTAAAAAAAGTTTAAATCAAATTAGTATTATTTAATCACTCAATTATTTCAAAGAAAATAACCCTTATTTTGCAACACCTTTGAATCAAAGAATTTCGTATTATCTCCATAACTTATAATAATAGTATTCAATGTCCCCCATACCTTTTAATAATAAGGAATGAACGAAAATTTCTCACCACATGTCACCCACATATTGTTTTAGTATATATTGCTTAAGATTTTTCAGATATTATAACAAGTTTATATAATATAGGTTAGCTCCTTCATTAATTTTTCAAAGCAAATAAATATAGTAAATCCATTCTAACTATTTCTCCATGATTGAATAATAATCAAAACAAGTTTAAATATTATTATAAGTTTTTTTTATATAGAATTTAAAAAAAAATATTCTCATCATATATCAATAGTTTTTATTCTAAGTTAGATCTTAGGCGGCTGTTATTTGTACCCCTCCTTACAAAAACCATATGTTTGATAATTCACCTCAAGCTAAATATTTCTAATTGCTCTTTAATTGACAAGTGTGAGAATTATGTCCAGACTGATGGAATAGAGTGCATTTTCTCTTTGATCCACCAATTCAAATCCAGAAAGATCTCTTCTGGTTGAGCTAGTTTGTCACTTAAATCTTTTTTTTAATGAATAGCGCGACCGTTTAACGTGATTGTAGATCGTCCAATCACATGGTTCACTACAGAGTACGTCAGTACGAATAACAGCCGTATATTATTATATTATGAAATTTATCAATATTTGAAAACAAATTTTGTCACAAAAAAAAAGCTAATATCCATATAATAATTATTTAATTTAAAAAGACTTGTTTAAAATGTTTGTGATATAGATAATAGATTTTCCCATTTTAATCTCATTGATCTTTCATTGAATCAATGAATAATCAATATATATTAATAAGCATGTTAATTTTATTTAAACAAACATGAAACTCCTTTCTTACAAATTTGACATACTCAGTCTTTATTTAAAAAATTAAAAGTCAAAGTCATTAATAATAAAAATTGTTGTAAAACAGATTCAAAATATATTAGACAAGATGATGGAAGTTGGTAAATGGGATTCTGAATCTATAAAAGTAGCTTTAAAAATTAAATAAATCACAATATTTCAACTGATTATTTAATTGAGATATATTTACTCTTATTTGTTGTTAATTAATGTTTAAAATAAAAAGATTTATTACTACAACTTGATGACTTTTAAATTTTTATAGATTAAAATGGTTTGAAATATTTATTTTAATGATAGTAGTGCTTGTTAAAATCTCACTAAATAAATTAAAAAATTTATGTTGATTAATTATTTGGAATGTGTCCTTTTAATGATTTTTTTTTTGTTGCAAATATTATATAATATGGCACATGATCTTGGAAATTCGCATAAATTGGATATTTTCATATAAGGTTTTCATAGTAAAAATATATTAAAGTATAATAAGATTTCTTATATTTCGGATTTGGATTATCATTTATCAGGGCAGGCCATCAAATGAACGCCTCAGCATCATCTTCACATTTATCACAAACTAGTACTCAAAACTTACATTCTCTCCTTTCAACACTTGCGTAGCCTTCACACCATTTTCAAAATTCAATTTTTTGCCAATATATATGCTACCTTATACATTCTGTGGAAAATTGTTATATCCTGCAAAAGCAAAATGGATTCCATATGATGAAAATTATACATACTATCCACTTTTTATTTCATAAACAAACCTAAATTATCATGTTATTAGTTATTATATAAGTATAACAAAGCAATTAGGGGTTCTTTAAAAAAGTGTTAATTTGACTATGCATTTACGTTTATGTTACAACTAATTACTATATTTTGAAGGCCGCCGCTAGGCAGCCATAGCTGTACAGTTCTTTATTTCATAATGAAAATCACAATAAAGATTTATATGAATATCATTAAGCTTGACAATAATCTATACGACATTATATATAATTTTTGGTTCTAATTACCGTATTTATAACTACTTTGTTAACATCTTTTTAAATTGCCTTTGTTCGTATAATCCATAATTCTGGGTATCTGGATTTTTTTGTTAAATCCATACAACTAAATAATTGGGTTCGAACTACTACCACTACATTTATAATAATAATTCCACTATAAATATTAAGTACAAATTATAATTAAAATTAAAAAAAAATAAATTAAAACTTATTAATATCATTGAACATATTTCATTTAAAACTTTTGTATAAATTTTCCATTCAAGACATTCAGTTAATTATAATTTAAGAACAGCTTCTTTTTATTTATAAATAGTTTTGTATAATAATATTGAATTCCCTTCTATCAAGATATTAAGAATTTAAGAATTTTAAAAAATCCATTATAAAGATGGAATTTCTTTAAACATGAAAAAGTAGCCTAAAATATCATTTCCATCCATTCAGTAGTACACTTTCGTTTCTTTAATAAATTTAAATAGTAAGTGTTAATATTAATTTCAAAATTAAATATTATTAATACTTTAATATGCTAAAATTTAATTATGGAAAATAAAAAATTAATAAAAAATTTAATCAGATCGTCCTGCTGTAATAACTCGTAATTGTAGTTTGCTAGTATATTATATGGCGCAGATTTGAATTCATATTTCAGATACTATATTGTACGTCTTGCAAGAGAAATATCAATAATACTGACGGAAAATCCGTCTTAAAATATGTGAAAATGTTATTATTATCCATACTTTTTTTTTTTTTTAAAAAAAAAAATAGTATTGCTAAAAATCACCGCTAGTGATTGTTGTCTTACCAGAATTAGGGTAGGATTTTGGGCTGAATTAAAAATGGCACGAAGCTCCGCCCACTAATATTTGCTAGTGCTGGTACGGTGATGATCACCACACAGTGATTTTTTAGCATTTTCTTGGGAAAATATGAAATTTGTAATTTGAAATTTATGTAAATAATAATTAAATATCAAATTAACTTATTATAAAGATTATTGGGTCTGTTCCTAAAATTTAACTTGTATCCAAATTTTTATCTAAAACCTTTTTACAAAATTATTCTAAAATTGAGCATGTATTATTTTGATACTATCCCACCTATATCCGTGTTCTTTTTATTATATCTAAATCCTTATTATACTAAATATAAACTAGAAATAACACAGTTTGTTGATTATACTTACAATAAAAGCTCAGTTTTTTCCTAAATTCAGTTTACATGAAACATTTTAATATTGTGAAATATAGTGTTAATATTTTTATGATTGTAAGGAATGAAAAGTTTTATTTTGCTGAATATATCAACAATTTCACACATCCTATAAAAAAAGAATGTCTGGAAATTGTCATCAGAAATGTCCAGAAAATGTCCAGAAGTCTGGAAAATTGCAATATTCCGGATGCTAAGATATTGTGAATTTCCGGAAAACGTCTAAGCCTAGTACCCAGAAAGTGTCCGAAATATTGACATTTTTCACTTCCAGACATTTCAATGCTAATTTCTGAACATTATTTTTTTATAGGAACATTGAAGAATTATTTCATTAAAGTGTTAATGTTACAAGCATATGTATATTACATCAGAAAAAACAATAGAATTAATATGTCCAATTACAAACTAATTTATTCATGTAAAAAAAATTACATATCCATACACAGTGTTGGACTAAACTATATAATTGTAAATTCTTATAAAATAGCAGTTATACATACAGTATATATCAAATGTTAAACAAAATTTTATTATCCTACTATGCTTCATTGTATATCATTTCTAATTGGGAGTGCACAATAATCCAAAGATTGAGAATTATAATCATCCTCATTTTTTGGAAGTTCTTTTGTAATATGATTAAGTAATCGAGATGTATAAATAGCTTGTGGATGGGTAACTGTTTGGTAGTTTTCAGTGGGTGAAAAATTTGTTTTTCTATATTCTTCTGTTTCCTCAAATTGTATTTTAATTTCTTCATTCCCAAAAATAACTAAATCCTCCACATATAACCCATAAAATGATTTGATTAATTTATCTAACTCAAAAACATCTGGTCTATTATTTTTGTCTAAATCCCAACACTTTTTCATTAAATCAAAATAACATCTTGGTACTTCTGATTTATTTATTTCAGGTCTAACTCCTTTGCAAATATCTAATGCCAAATCATAATCATGTGCACGATTGCCAAAAGGTTGTTTTCCAGTTGCTACAAAATACATTATCATTCCAAAACTATAGATATCTGCTGCTTGAGTATAAGGTTTTCCTCTTAATACTTCAGGAGCCACATAAGACATAACTCCATAAATTTTTGTTTCATCTATATTATCAACTTCTCCAGATAATCCCATATCTGAAATTAATACACAATTACTAAAATGATTTATGAAATTCAAAAATAATATATTTCCTGTATGAAAATCACGATGAACTAAATTTCTTTGATGAATTTCTTTAAGACCATTAATAATATCGATTAATGCAGATAGTTTATCCTTCCAATTAAAATATTCATAGTTTTTATTTATCCAATGATTAAAATTGCCTTCTTTTGCATATTGGAGAACCATAATATATTCTTTTGTATCTGGATTTTGAGATATTCCATATACATTAAGAATATTACTACTTTTATTTATTGAGTACTCTTTAACCTATTAAAATACATTGATATCAAAAAATAATTATTACATTGTGCTTAAAATAATATTATAGTGATTCTTTTAAAAAAGTTTCATACCTCATTTAAAAATTTGTCTGTAATACTTTGGGAATTATGCAAACATTTCAAAGCAATTACTTTATTTGGATTTCTATTATAGATTTTTTTATCTACATCATACTCTAATGGACCATCCCTCCATTCTGCTGAATATACTGTAGAAAAACCACCTTTACCTATTTCCTTAATATCATTAAACTGACTGTATAGTATCCATTCAAATACTACATCATTATAGTCATTTATTTGTAATTGCCTTTCTTGGATGAAATCATCAATTTTTTCATTTCCACTTGTCCAGATAAGAACAAAAATATAATTTCCTGTATCTGGATTTTGAGATATTCCATACAATATTTGAAATGCTTCATGTTTTGTTGGATATTTTTTAGCCTAAACATAAATAAAAGAAATTGTAAATACAGTATATTAATTAGAAAATAAAAGTATTAAATATTTGAAGAAACTTCATACCTCATTTATTAAAGAATCGATGGATTCTTGTGAATTATGTAAACATTTTAAAGCAACTTCTTTATTTGAATCTCTTGTATAATTGTTCAACTGGTCCTTTTTGTATAATGGACCATCCTTCCAGATTGCTGTATATACTGT